TGAAGACATTTTCCAAGTTGGTGAAGTACATGTTGAGATATAGTCTATGTACATGAAAATATACATGTACCTAACATCATGATAACCAATAGGGAAATGTTCGGAAGTTATTTTACCTGATGGAATCGACCATGCTGAACAATACTAGATTGAAAGTTTTCCAAATTATCATGTGAATCTGGCAGTGATGATGATTTTAGTGAAAATATTAAATTTCACTAAAATATTACTATTATCAGATTTATTTCCGCAAATATTACTATTATAATGATGATAAATAACAATGATGATGGTTGGTAGTTGTTTCGATGATGATGTACCAACTTGAATTTTTCCAAATAATAAAATTATTTCCAAATCATGATGAAGAATTAAATTCCAAAAATTACTATTAATACTGTTATTTAAATCATGATGAGATGATGTGGTGAAATTCTTGGAGTTAATAGATGTGAAATCACTCCAAGAATCAACAGAGTCGTGATGTACCTGATGTTGTTTCAATATTTTTGAAATATTTTTCCAAGTTCTTGTAGATTCCTAATCACTAAGAATCGGTGTGTCCAAAGATATTTTTTGCATGGAAGAATAATGCGACCGAATATTACTGAATAATTTTTTATACGGGTTTATTTCGTATATAACAGTAACTGTTGAAGAATAACCATTGCAGGCATTATGGAAAGCGTAAGGATGGTAGCCATAACCAATTCCCATACCATAAGTGGCCATGGCTCTATAGAGTCTGGTTGGTGTTTTCTTCATAACGCCACAAGTTCTTACAACTACGAATAGGTGTGTCCAAAGATATTTTTTGCATGTAAGAATGATGCGACCGAATATTACTGAATAATTTTTTATACGGGTTTATTTCGAATAAGTTAAATTGAAATAGGAAGATGTTTAATTGCAAAGTGAAAGAGAATTATCATTTTGAGAACAAGCACCAATCTTACCAATTTGTTGACTATCAAAATTAGTGCATTGTGGACTAATATTACGAGGAGCATACTTAATAGAGGAGAAATCAGTTGAGTTGCATCTATACATTTGTGTATATTCATACATGTCAAAGCAAGAGTCAGTTCTATAAGCAGAAGCACCAACTAACATGTCATTACCTGTTCTTCCACATTGATTATCCTTTGCATTCAAGTGGAGTTGATAATTCAATGTCCACAACAATTTAATTCCATACTTTTCTGAATTGACCACAAAATCAGGCAATTTACCACATCCATACATTTCATTGAGTGAATTACATTGATACAATTCGTAGCTACTATTGTCGACACAATCCTTGCAACCTTTCTTACATAAATTCTTAATGGTGGCTGTTCTAGAATTGCATTCATATTTGGCATAACCATATTCATAACCAGTTCTTTCGAAACATGATCCATTTAGTGGTTGTGATGGATTCAATGGTGAGATAATCTTATTTAAACCAATTGATTGAATAGTTTCTGGTTGACAAGTGGATGAACTGAATGAGATAGAATAGAAGAAATCACCTTCTAGTTCTCTGATACGAGCACATGCACACATACAGGCGCACAATAATAGAAATGTGCATGCAACTAATGTTCTCGGTTGAATTGACTTCATTTTTTTTGATGAGAGAATTAGTCCATTCGAAATCTATGGACTGTTTTTTTAGACCTGTTTTTTACTCCGTATGGGCTCCGAAACAATCTCCTGGAAGTAACTTACAATGAATTAATTAGTGTGAAAAAAGAAAGGATTCGGCATTCTGACCAATTTATTGCGCACCATCAATTTTGTTTACAATTCATTCCACCACTTTGTAAACTTCGAAATCTTCAACTAGGAAATTGAATCCTCCAAAATATTGTCTCTTTTCATCAGGGACTATATTATTAGGGAATTCATCATCAAATACTTGATTAATCTCTCTCTGTGGTAATTTGCACTCTGGTAAAATGTAATCCTGGGTGGCATTGTGTGAACTAGAATAGGTAGATGTATTTGCATCACCACACACCCAAAAGCAATAACCAAATGCAAACAAATACAATGAGCTATATCTGTACAATGCATGAATATTGTGGTCATGCATTAATCTGAAAATATACAATGTATTATCATCAAATCTAAACGTAAATGATTCCTCATCCTTTACATTACTTCCTCTTTGATCAAGTTTCAAAGTTTCTGTCGTATATCCTCCAAATAAATCTCCTCCTTTAGATTTAACAATAATTACAATTTTCCCCTGATCTTCGCAACGTTTACGAAATTCCACCTCTGAAAATCCATCCCTACTCGCTCTAAATATTAATTTTGGACTTCGATGAGTCTTCAATTCTCCTCTAAATAATTGATAATATTGAGTGAAGGAAATCAAAGGACTTTGAAATTTGGCATCATTCCGATAGAAATTAGTGAGTGAACGTGATCCGATGTGATGATCTAGCTTGATCACGACCGATTCTCCGATTGGTTCTTCGTAAAAGTTTGATTTTTGCATTTTTTTTAAAATTGTAAAAAAACTAAAAATACAACAAGTTCAAATTTCATAATAATTTTACAAAAAAGTTCATTTATTGAATTTTTGTAAACTTTAGGGAAGATAGATTGAATTTTTTAAATGATTTGTTTTATTTAAGGATCTACGTTGGCAGATTTGAAAGAACCCAATAATGGAGATTCGACAAGTTTAGTTTCACTTAGTTTTCTTTCTAACATTCGAATTTTAGCTTGCATGTTTAGAATAGTTTTTCCACTTTCTCTATTTTCAACTGCCTTTCTCAAATCTTTAAGGAATGCAATTCTAAACTGTGCTGTGAGTGTCGAATTTGCAGATCCAACAAAAGTTGCAGATAATGGATCTTGAAGTTTCATATTTCTTACACGAATGTCAGCTCCCAAATCAATTAGTTTCGTACAAATATCCTTTCTTCCAAGTTGTGAAGCTACATGAAGTGGCGTATCACCACTCAAATTCTTTTGATTCATCATGACATGAACATCCATGGACGAATCTTCTGACATGTACGAAATGGCAATTTCCAACATTTCAACTCTTCCATAACCAGAAATCCAATGTAACATGTTATTCTTGTTCTTATCTCTCAAATTGGCAAGTTTTTGTCTATCAGAATAGAAATGATTCAAAATCCATTCGAATATTTGATCGCAACCTTGTTTGTTTCCAATAGTTCTGATGGCAAACCAAATTGGTTCGTTCATGGTGATGGTTGTGTTGGTGGATGGGAAGGTTGGTTTGAAATCATAGTTGGAAATGAGTGATCCCAAAAAGTCTAATGTCTTTCGGCTAGTTTCTTGCTTGTCAGTACACAATAACATGCACAAGGTCAGTAAATTGTGAACTTCTTCCCGATCTTCCTTTGCTGCACACGATGTTGATGGACTTGAAACACCGAAACTTGAATCTAATCCATGTCTATTTCCAAATAAAGCCTTATTAACCATTGGATCAGATGCCTCAATTGAGCTACCATTGGAAGATGACATTTTACAAGTGGCATTCATGTTAGCTCCTCGAGAAATCAAGAAGTGAGCAATCTCAAAGTGACCTCTCAATATAGCCAAATGCAAAGCACTTGGAAAATCTCTACGTGATTGAGTTTCTGATTCTCTTGCTTCAACATCAACTTTGACTTCATCAATTAGATATTTGACAACATTGAATGCACCACCGAGAACTGCACTTGTCAATGGATTATGATAATAATTATCTACATGAAGATTAACATCAATATTTGACTTTTCTAGCATTTTCTTGACGAGATGTAATCTGTTATATTTACAGGCATAGTTAATGAGAGAAACTCCTTGGTGGGTGATTCTGGCAAGTTGATCACCAGTGAGACCCATCTTGTCAAAGATGAAATCCATGCACTTGTCGTTTAATTCTTGCTCTTTTTGGACAGTTTCGAATGATTTGGACGAAAGGGAGTTATGAGGTGTACTTGTAATGATTAATTTGAACATTAACAAGTACATGTTCTTCTTACATCTTGGATCGAGATTTTCATGTTGGAGAGAAATGACACTAGATTCGTATTGAGTTTCGTATTCGTCTTGTAATCGAACAAGTTCTCTAAATAATTCTTCACTTTCATTGAAGAAACAGGCTGTGTGAATTGGTTGTAAACCTCTTGAATTGGTTCCAAAAAGGGATTTCTTGACAAGATCTTTGACTGATGGCATTTCTTCTGATTTGAGAGTTTCTAATTTTTGTAAAGATTCGATTAATGATTTGAGGATTTTAGATTCTGCATTTGGAGTTTCACAAAGTAAGTGAACAATATTACCATCATCAAGATAACTTGACAAGCCTTTGATCATTATTGGAAAACATGAATATTCTGTATAAATTTGCAAGTACTGATTATTCGAAAGGTAATACGAAAGTCCACTACAATCATTCTCATCAAA